GTTACATTGTACATATATCCCATCTGACTACATACCGCCATGTTTCACGGCTGTTCTCCGCGCTGCAAGATTCGTGACAAATCGCTGACAGGTCATTGGAAACGTTAACCAAATCAAGTAGGATAACATAAGTGAATGAATGAATGTTTCTTCATATTTTTTTTGAAAAACAGCCTATTACATCCTTTAATTACGATTCAGCAATCACGTACATAGGAAGTTGTAAAAGAGCGTATCTCTATTCGAGCATGAAGTTCATTGTACCGTTTGCCGATGTATTACGACACGGTTGTTGGCCGTAGCTAGGAAAACGTGTCGACGATGTGCAGAGAGCCGGTCGCATTCCAAGATGAGAGTTGGCAGAGGCAAAGAAGTGGAACGACTTCCAATTATCGACAGCCTCTAGCGCGGAAGTGCACGCGTTTCAAGGACTTGGCGAATCATCGTCGAGAACTTGTTTCTTCGCGATGCATGCCGCACTTTCCATCCATAATTCTGTATCTATATACTATATACTATATACATATGTAGTTTCCTGCACGTTTGCGCAACTTCTTGGCAAGGGCAACGAGCATAACGAGGACAAGAGATATCCTCTCTCACGGTCAACCGTATATCCTTTCGAGCCAGTCAGCTGCACATATGCATTTCCTACCGCCACGTTACGTTACACGCGCATGTACCTATGCAATCAATTTCATTATGATAATTCTTCTTCTTCTTCTTTATCACAAAGAAGCCTCTATTACAATTCGAATGCGACTTCGAATGTGATAGCTGGCCCAAAAACTTGAGTTGTGTAGCGATTGAATGATTACTACAGCTAAATCTCTCATGTTCTTTGAGATACTATGAGATCTATGCTCACGCTCCTCCCAGTAACCTTAATGTAAATTTTGCAACATATGCAATATCTTTGCGTGAAATCTTGATTCCGGTTGTGAAGATTATTATCAGTACATATTTGAGTATTTACGGTCTGTTGCCTCCTGTTTTATGGTGTCGTAATTTTCTTCAGAATCACTGCGTCTTTAGATTCGAAATGAAGGTAACTGCTATGCTAACGAGACATTGAAAGTTAGCAAGGATACGAGTTGAGTAAATGTCATTATAACATCCTAGGCCGTGAAAGTATCAAGGTTCTGGTAAATGTTAACAGCGAATCAAATGTCAACTATTACAGATATATTATGTAGATAGGTATAATTAAGGGATTTAAATTATCATACCAAGTACGTTAGAATTTCGATTTCAAGTTTTCACAATGCTGAAGCGTATTGTCGACGTCGTTTTTAACGACGTGAACCTTTACCTTTGCTCTCTTTCTCCTTCATTTTTTGCTCTCTTTGGCCCGTCAAGCTGGATAAGCCTGTCCTTCTCCCGCTCTGATAGAAAGTGGAACTTCGCAACGGATGCACCACCACCGCACCGCACCGCACCGCACCGAGATGAAAACGTTTCAACCACTTATCTCACCGAGATTTCATATTTTTTGCGGAGCACGCTCGCACCGGGATATAATTTTTTCCGGTTACATACCTGTTTGCCTGACGTCCGTTAATCTTCTACGCGTTCAGCTTGCAAAAAGAACTTGATACACGGAGATGATCCAGATCTTAGGAAGCAAATTTTCATTTAATTCTATTTTCAAAATATTGCTTTATGAAAATACTGAAATGTGAGTGAAAATACAAATTCGAGTTATGTAGGTCTAGGAGAAACATTATCATCCGCTTAATTGCCGGCTATTAATTCAAGTGGTTGTGTCAATAGTTATAGCTATACTAAGAGGTTCATCCTAATATTGGTTCGTGCTAGTGTCATCGAGGAAGCCGTATCGACGCTGTGTGCATACGTACCTTGTATACCGTTCAGTATACCATCCAGTGTAGCTGTGTCGATGCCCCACTGTAATTACTATAATTACCCGATGTCCAGAACCAGACGGTCCGCGTTTCGAACGGCCGAATTGATAAGCGCCCCAATTAAGCGCCTCGCCACGCCACCGGATAAACTTTAACGAATCCCACAAAATCACCGAACGTGCATTGCATACGCATACGTCGCGATTTCGTTTCGTTGCCTCGCTCTACAACATGGTCGCGTTAATTTCCGCGACAAACCGGATTGTCTGGACCGGCTAAACAGAACTTTTGCTGCTGATCGATCGAACTCGAACACGCTTCAAATTTCCTTGGCATAAAATTCAGAATTTTTCCACGTGAATTTAGATAGGGGGCCCTTTTTAGGTAAATAAATACGTCCCAGTGTATTATTATTATTATTATTTTTAGTTTTTTCTCACAATGAACCCATGAAAATGCAAATAGGAAAAACTTTGGACTTGACTAAAAATTTAGCAGCTGAAAATCAGGTAGAATCTCTAATGATCTATCAAAGTTTATTACACTCCGCCTGAATCATCCGGTATTCAGCTGCACCGGAACTCGTCGATGCAGTTTCGGCGGGGTGAAAGAAGGGAGGGGGAGAAAGAGAGAAAAGGAAAGGGAAATATCAGTTTTTTGCTCATCGTCAGAGCATGGGCTTCATGGAAAAGAAATGGAATTTTGCCAAGGCTGAGCCGCGGTTAGAACGCCACCGTGTATTTTATTCTGCAGTCAATGGCACTCGCCATCCACTCGCCGTACTTCTACACCCTTCCCTGTTTCCCTTTTTGCAGGCATCGCATTAAACCTGCCTAATGCCACTCGGGAAAGAGTGGAAGGTGGAAAAAAAGCAGCCGATAGATCGATCCGATCCGGCTCGAATTTCTCAAGGGACCCAGCTAGTACAGCTAGTACAGCTAGTACAGCCTGCTAGATTTCCCGTTTTCCCGTTAGATCCGACATTGAATAAGAAATTAAAACGTAAACGATGCGATCGTGTCACGTGTTTGATTCGAAGGGAACCCACGAAACGAAAGTAGGAAGTAATAGCGAATTCGTCTGGCAAGAATCAACCCCTCCAGGGCAGAATTCAATAAAGGGGGAGTATCTTGTCGTCGACGTCGTCTGTCAAAACATTTCATTTTGCGGTGGCAATCTCGACGATTTTTCATCATCCTGACTCTCGTGAATTTCCCCGAGAGCTACGATAGACTGCGCCCGCTCCGAGCAAAAAGGGTTGCCAGGCAGAAATTAGATTTAATCAAATAATTCACTCCTACACGTTTTTCGTTCGTCAATATGAATTGACGACCAGCAAATTGGATAATCGCCAGAAATGTTGGGGGGAAAAAATTCGGTGACTTCGTGGAATCTGGAGTATTTATTTCTCGTTAGATTGTTCTCTATTTCACTGACATGTGCAGTGACAGAAATCTACGTAATTTTGGTATAATAATCTCAACAAATGGGGCCGGGGGGGGGGGTCGCCATTTTTCCTGGAGAAACCTACTATGCTCGATACTGTAGAAGAAAAGTCAAAATTACTAAAATTCTAAATAAAAACTAAAAGTATTAAAAACAGTTACCTAGAATAAAGAAAATTATATATGTAACAAGCCTTTTCAACCTAAAAGTATCTGAATAACGTTTGCAGACAATAAACAATCAGCTGTAATTCAGGAAAAATAATATTTATCGAAAAGATTTAACTTATTGCTACACGATCCAGGTGGTTTTAACATTCGTTATACCACGACTCGAGAAAAAGAGAAGTGATTAGGTATTGAGACGTCGACAAATGACCGACATAGATTATCACGGAAAGACTGATATTACATTTATTAGCGTGCGAATGAATAGTCGCAAATAGGTAGATCGATCTCATTAAGGAATAAAGCAAATGTACTGTAAGATATTACCTGCTGTTGCTCCTACGTAATAACAATCTTACGGCTTTCCGGATATATTCGATACCAATCTGCTACGAACTCACCTGCTGATTTTCTCAATGATTATTTCACCGATGAATCAGCAGTCGAAGAAACGAATTGCATTAACACCTTAACTGACATAATGAAAATCGACATATTCAATAAGACATGGATCGTTTATTTTGAAAATGGTGTAAGTCCATTTTTAGAAAATAATTTATTTTTACGTGAACAACTAAGGGGGAGGGAGGGGCTTTTTCAAATATTTTTTGAAAAGCAAAAGAAAAGTGAAAAAATTATGTTGACACCTATTCGAGAGTTATGGTTGTGTTTTGAAACGTAGAAAAAAAAAAAAATTGACAAATATTTCTCACTACTCGCTATGCATTATTCGGATTCTTTTGTACGAAAGTCGATTGTACAGTTTTACATTTCACCTCAAACGGGCTGTCTCGAAAAGATTCAGCGTTCTTTGAAGAAAAAGAAGCGTTTGATATACAAACGAGAGGAGGCTGTTTAAAAGAAGAGTCGATCGATCATTTTGAAACGATACCATGAAACTTTAGGTACACGCAGTGCTTTGACACATTACAAATGAGACGTCAGGTGGTCAACTCCCCCACCTACACCGTTTTTTTCTTTCAACCCTTGTCTAGTACTACGTGCTTATTGATTACCGATTGAGTTTGTCCATGCGTATCAAGCTGTCTGCACAGAAGTACAGAATCCTGCATTTTCTAGCTGTAGCAAAGTTAGGTCGATGCCACTAAAAGGGCTGAACGATAAATCATTTCGGGAAATTCCTTGTAAAGCATTAAGTGCTCTATGGCTTCTGAAAGGATCCTGCTCGCGACGAGCAAGAATAATTATATCCTTGCCTTGCATTTGCCGCGTTTCAATTCTAAACGGCCCTCGACGCGACTCGGTACGGTACTCTGAATTTTCGCCGTATACCATTCCTTTTAAGGTAAGTAATTCACGTTTTTCAGATTACAATCCTGACAATGAGAGAAAGGTGTAATACACATTGATGTGTAATTTAAAAACGCGTTTGTTATAACATTTCGAACGTCTGATTGTATCTATCCGTTAACGATGCTTCTAATTTTCGTTCCTTTTGCTATAATAACTTTTTAAAATCACTTGTTTTTAATTATAACCATTTTGAAATTTCCTGTTTCAGGTGCACGTGATAGCGACAGTGATGAAGAGAAAAATAGTGACACGATTTTGCTGCTGCCAAACGGCTCGTCAGTTCGTTTCATGCGACCATACGGTGGTGCTGGTTTCCCTGATATGAGCTTCGAGGACAGTGATAGCGTCGAGAATCCAACTTGGACATGGAACGGCATGTTCAGATCGAATTTCTTAGATGGATGGTATTCGCGTATACAAGGTATGCGAAAGACAATCTTTACCAGAAAATAGCTGAATTAAACAGTTTAAGTATTATTATCTGTATTGCATTGCACAGATATCTCTCCGAACCCATTCAAAATGAAATTAAAACATTTAGTAATTAAGAATACGTAGTATACACCGAAAGTAAAAGCACCGAATTCAATTGTAGAAGTAGTTTGAATTTTTTATTTACACCCACAATAGTATGGGTATATGAAAATCTGGATAAGAAAAGAAAGGATTTTATTTAGGTAATTTTCACACGAAAAAAAGAAAAGAAATTGAAATTTGGTGGGTCAGCCCCAAATAGACTTGTACCCTGACGCGATTGGAACGACCGCACGTGTGCCGCAGAAACGCGATCACGGTTCGACAAGCACAAACATAAAATTACACGGATTCGCGCTCGCAATCGTGTCCGTATTCCGCTTACATGCGGTTTGTCAAACGTAACTTCCGGTACACGGTGCGCGCGATCGGTCTGTACATATACATACATACATACATAAGTACAGTAGGGCCCGATTGTCGTTTCCCGTGTTGCTGATAGTGCTGATACGTGAAAGTATCCGCGTCCTCGTTGTTGAAATTTCTCCAATTTCCAAAGCTTTATTACGCTCTTCGCTCTGATGACATGATCGCTTTAGATTTTAGATCATGGAAGAAAATGACTTGCTCGTTAAATGAAAACTACTCGAACGACTATGAAAATGATGATTGTAGCGTAGTGTGTTTTCTAGGTGCACGCTATACGCATATTGTTATGCATGCATGAAATGCGCTCTGTTGGCAGGGATGGCATTTAGAAAGCCATATTTGACAATTCCTGCAGATTCCAGTTACGTGATGTGATTATTAAATCACGATTTAACCCTTTCGCATTCTTGGACAGAGTGATTTCATTTGGTTTTTTAGACGAATGGATCATTGGCATAACTAGATCTCATAAAACATAGTAGCCGTTAAATCGATGTAATTATAGAATTATATATCGGCGATAAAGAAGACGGTCGTTCGGACTATACTAATGAAAGCAATTAGCAAAAATTACCGTCCTAATTAGCTGGTCGTGATTACTGCGGTATCGCGGAAATATCTTCTCCTTCCTTCTCTGCTTTGTTTCGCTCTGTAACGGAAAATTGATTTTATAGTCTTCAAGACGAGCGCCATCTGCAATTTGTTGCCAATTCCATGAGCTTCTGCTCACGTTTCCCAGAGCAATTTCATGAATATATCTGCATACTGTTAGGATGAGTTTCGGAAAGAAGAAGGACGAGGGAAAAGAAACGGCAAAGAAAGAGATGCCTCACAGAGATGTCGTCCGATGGGGAAAGATTGATTACATTATCGCGTGGAATTCTTAATGAAGCCGCGTTTCAAATCGTTTGGCGAACTTGGCAATTTCATTTTTTTGATAAAGATCACCTTCTCATTTTATTTTTTTCATTTTTAAGAGGATAGCAGGGTTGAAACTGTATTATACTATACTAATATTTATAATATTAGGTATATACAGTTTATATTTAAATAATTAAGGATTTATTTTTCGAATTAAGTGCTTCAATTTGGTATTGACGTACCTAACTAGATAGGGGCCAGAATTTCATAATTCCAGATTACCACTGTTCGTTCCAGAGTTTTAAAATTTCAGACTTTCTAAATTAAAATTAAAATGTTCCTAACTTATCCCCTTACTTTATAGGGGATGCTTGTTAAAAACCTTAAAAAATTAAATTATTTACTTAGCTAAAATTTTCAACTAACGATAAATCAGTTTGAAACTCTACAAATAGTCTCTTTTGATAAAAGTTAATAAAGTTGACGAATTTGAAAGAAATGTGGAAGGAGTTGCGGTGAATTCCATGCTCGTGATAGCATTTCCTCGAGAAATGAAATTTTTTCCATTGCTCTAAATATTTCATGTAGCATTAGGCGAGGTGGAATTAAAAACGCGTTCTAATTACATTTTTCGTGACGGAATTCGCATTGCAACCGGACGCGCGAGGCTTATGAAAGTTACGAATCGTTTGTCCTATAAATAGATAAATATGCAATATAAAATATCTGAAAAAAAAACACTCGAAACTCTTGGTTGGCATTCTTAAGCAGCAAGGTCGGCTACATAATATGTAACGAGACGTAATTCGAGCAAGGAATACTTTCACCTTTGAAAGAGCCCACAGTTACCTACTTACGTAGCCGTTGATCTCGAAACAAACGGAGAAAAAGAAGGATAATCGCGGGGCTGCTCGATCCTGTCTCGTAATGAATTACGAGCTGAATTGCGAGCCGAAAGGTTTCGGTGAAAGAGCCAGTAATTTTCGGTAATCGCCGATTGCACGACCCGATGAATCGTTATTCAGATCCATGTTACGTACCCGCTGTTAGCCAAAGTGGAAGAAAGGTTCTTCAGGATTAAAAGTTGCCGAATCGATACCATGATTGATGAGAAAGTAGGATGAAAATGAAGGATGTAAAGAAAAACGGAAATGAAGGAGAGAAATGTATCTGCATATACAAGCTGTTTTAGAAAAGAAATTCAAAAGCAACATAGTAGATAATCCTTTATTCAACAAAAATTAGGATTCGCATACTTTATAATATGTATAATAAGTTACGTAGAAATAATAATAATAATCTGAACTATCGGAACTATCAAACTTTTAAGGACCACCCCCTTGAATCGTAAAAAGAAAGGACGATAGGCTATTAGAGTGGTAATGTAAGGTAGCATTATACGTTCCACCTTTCGACTTGTTCTTTTGTAATTACTTGCCGGCAAGGATTCTGAAAGCGATGTCATGGTCTCGTTTTACCGGTTTTTGAACACACCTCGTTTATTCTTACATAATTGAATATAGTTCCCTCGGTGAACAAGGTGAAATTATTAAGACCACTAGAAACCAGAACGAAGGATAATAAGCTGATTCAATAATGAATCGAGTCTTTATTTCGTAGCTCCATATTTCATGGAATTTATCAAATAAATACATACATGATAACAATTTCTACAATATAATTAACCCGTTTCTGTCCGCCGTCTTTAATAATTAATCCTCTTCATTACTGATAATTGAATATACATACGTATAATATAATTTACACTCACTTTGTACATTTTACGCTTTGCAGCATTAATTCTAGATATTAAATTTTAATAAACAATGATTATAATTGTGCTTGATAAAGCATGGTACGTTCACAATGAAATCAAGCTCTCCTAGGAAAAATGCTGATATACATATTGATGTTAAAAGTAACTCGAGAAAAAATAATACGAGTTTTAATTATTAAATATCATAAAATTTATAAAATAACTGAAAAGTGCGAATTTCATTTCATTCGAAGAATATGTATCTACTGCGAGTAAATACAACCGAGGAAGTTACGTTTCCGTTTTTCCTCAATTAACTTTACCTTGCTTGTCTTAAACATTAATTTTCTTTTTTTTTCTTTACGATACGTTTGCTAATGTTCGGATCGCCAGTGAGTCTTCGCGGTTGCACAGATCGCTCGGTTGTAACGCGATAAAACGTTATTGCCCCGATGCAGTGGCGGCTGTCCTAGTGTAGGAACGGAAAAGTGAAATCGCGGCCACAGACAGGGTCGTGGAGCGACACGAAATCGATTATCGAGAAAATTACCATAATATCGTTTACGTTGACGTTGACGTTGACGTTGACGTTTACGTTTACGTTTACGTTTACGTTGAATCGGTGCTCATTAAGGCGACGAATTTAAGGAGAATCATTGCGATTTTCGGAAAGCCAAATTTTCTCCGATTCTTTCGATGTTGAAGTTTTTCGAATAGGTCAATAAATAAATATTTAAATATTGGAACGTTTTGATGGAAGAAACTTAAATTTCTAAGCTTCTTGCTAATAGAAGAAGCATACCCATCTAAGTACAGAGCGTTTTTTGGAAAAAATTGAAAACACTTTTCAAAGACCAAATTGCAAAATGGGGCTCTGTATAATTTTTTAATATTAGATATAAAGAAAAAGTAAAATTGAAAAGTCATAAATTTTACAAAATATTCAGTCGTTAATGTGTTAACAGAACTTGTAAGTAACTCATACACAATTCCAAGGTATGAAAGAGCCCTCTTTCATCGCTCGAGAAGTACATACATACATAATTCAATTTCCGTATCAAAATCCTCATAATACGTGAAAAAAAAAAATAGTGAATCTCTATCTCTGATGCTTTCACTGTAATAGGCCATTAATTCATAGGCCATTAATAAATGGAGCAGCCGATAATTATATCCAATCGCTACGCGCTGGCTGACAATGAGAAACAATTACCAGCAATTATTTAGCATTTTCGTATCTTTGACGACAAACGACCACAATATATGTACTATGTATGTACATACATACACATATACACGCAAGACTGTTATTTCGATGGTAAAAGACACAGGATTTTTCTCTGGTAACAAGAACGTGGTCGAATAATGAATTGGTGACGTATCCTCGTTAAGATTCCACGTATGTACATACCAATAATCAATCGATATATAAGGTAGGTCATTTTATTCCTCATTGTAAACGTAATAAAATATACTAAATCGATCGCGTTATCACGTGTCCGTACATTCATGGCCTCGATTCGAATATAAATTATTGTCACATTGTCGACTTATTTACAGTGCCAGTCTTATCCGTTATTTATTAGGTGGATTTCGAAATATACCAAGTCTGACCCCTATTTAATAGCGTGAAAGTATCTTAGAAGGAGATGAAATGTATAACACTTTCGACCCAAAATGGTATACTTATCGTTAGGGAAACGATAAAATTCTGATTACAGTCTGATTATATTACCTATAATTCATACACGTACCACTTCTATCTTCACGTACGGTCATTGTAAAGACTATTCAATAGAGAAGCATGCATTGCTACCGCTATTTAGAATGACAATACTGTCAGGAGTTGGAACATCCTTGAATGTGACACAGAAAAAATCGCATAAGGTGGAGCAATATTAAGTCATTACTCACTCAGTTGTGCTGATAAGACGATTAAGCATCATTTTCATAAACGATTCTATAGAAGCAAATTATAGTTTCTATTTTAGTCTCTGCCTCTCCTAGTAACCTGGCCTTAATGTTTCTGTACTAGCTTCTTAAATTATTTCTCAACTTCATTCCATGCTAACAGTGCAAGTTCCGATTGTTCTCGATTTAAACGCTTCGGACGAGACGACGATGTATCTATTACTATCTGTGATCGTTTATGAATGTGTAATTGAGAGACGATATTAAATATTTTATACTACTAATAAACCTAAGAGACCTGACCCACCCCTACGCGCGCCCAATCCTATACTTGCTCCGATACAGCTGAAATATGTAGAAAGTAAAATTTATACAAATTTCTATTTCTACTTACCACTTACTTACATTCTTCGAGTCTACTAGAAAAAATTTTGTATAAAATTTCTAAAAGTAGAATTGTTAAAATTTTGAGAAGACATATACCTCAACGGGCCCGGATATGTTAGGAGGTATACATATATGTGTCATTCTCTAACGCTAAAAATATATCAATTCTTGCACCATTTCTCAAAATATTCCTATACGATTCGAACACGTTCCATGAACTTTCAATATTGCATTTCGTTCTTCAATTTCACATCTCTGATGTCCTTTCCTTTATCCCTCTTGCTTCTTCTCTCATTCCACTCATATTTCTTTTTTTTTTTACACAAAAAGTAGGGAGAAAGACATACGATGACAGATTCCAACTTTTTATTTCTAATCTCCGACCTCTTTTCAGCTCACATGAAAAGGTTGAGGGATCAGATCGCTGGCATTTTGTCACGTATTCCCGAGGAAGGCGTCGTGCCCTCGGTCAAGATTCCTGAAGGAGCAAACACTACTTCCACCACCAAGGTGGGTCCGTCTGGCTCGTTTAGCTAATCATCAATTATTAGTTTTATTGACAAATCTATACTTTTCTTTAACGTTTTCTTACATATCTCTCCAATTTTCAAATCATTCGAATATGTATATTATATTAATTAATAATGTTCCTTAACCATCGGGCAGCAAAGTCTGGATGAGAAGGAAATTAATCGAAAATTAAATGTGTAACTTTTAAACGAAAGAGTTTCAGATATTGGAAGAATAATTTTAAAAAAGACTTCCGCTGATTCACTTCTGTTTGCTTCCAGATCATCGATGGACACGTAGTGACCATAAACGAAACGACCTACATGGATGGTGACGACGAGTTTGGAACGCTGATCCGCATCCGCGTTATCGACGTGAAACCCCAAAACGAGACGATCTTGTTGACCGAAAGCGCAGCAGACGCGGAAGTAACCACTTTGCCAACCATAACGACCAGCAAAACCGCCACGAGCAGAGATGAGAACACCACAACACCGCCAAGAAGCGTGGAGACCGTCGAGGATAGCGACAATGAGATACCGAAGAACCAAGTCGACACTCTGTCTGCTTAAATTGACAGAGCTAACATAAACAGCTTAAAATATATCTGTTAGCGTTAGAATCCATTGAATCCGAAAGATGGTTCATTTTGTGATGCTCAGGTATTCAAAGTGATACTCATGAACGTTCAAATCTTTTTATTTTTCAGTATCATTTTTTTTTTCTTTACAAATCTATTTCAACGTTCTTTTTTTTAATCTTTAGTAGCTCGTTTGTTTTGTAGATTTAATTTCTTTTAAATCAATACACTACTGGAACTATTTTCAGGTACGAAACAGTATAGAATTAAAAATGAAAGAATTTATTAATTGGCAAGCTAAAATAAAAAATTGAAATAGATTAAACAATTAGTCATTGACACCTTAACTACCATAACCCAACGATAGAAGAATTTTAAGTCGTGTAATTAAAATGTCAAGAGACAGAATTTTGTATACCGGTAAAATTACATTAGTAATTAGAAGTAGCAAACCAAAGCACTAAATCGAAAAATAAATCCTACCCTATCCCCTTAGTATAAGCCACTGATAAAATACATCATCAATGAACGAGTTACTCTAATGAAAATTAATAAACCATAGAAATAGGACAAAAATAGAGGAAGGGAGATTTCCGTCCGCCATTAAACCTTCTTTCGGATTCGAGCTGATGATTCCTGTGCGAGAAAACACTGTAAAGATTCGCGAGATATCAGAGTGTCAACTATCATAGTGCTATAAATTGATTTATGCATTATATATATTTACATGTTTTCCAGTAGTTAATAACCGTATATTTATAAGTCGCCTGTGTGTCGAAGCAAACACGGTTGTAATGTTTATTTGAATCCTATAAGATAAAGATGGGCATTGTGGCAAGGACAAGCTACGTATGTATATGAACGTCTAAACTACACATCTGAAAATCTTAAAATTGTTTATTTGCCTATTCAAATATTTATGTATCTTGTTCCTGCCCTCATGCCCGCAGCTTCTTGTATAAGATGTACCAGCAGTAGTGAGACTATGATAATTTACTACAGATTGTACTATCTATGGTAATTCGATCGTGATATGGTTTGAAAAGAAACAAGTATATCTTTCCTAATTGAAATATTTCTTCGAAATTCTATTTTTCCATTCCTCTATTTCTAAAGGCCTCCCATTAAGAATATAATAAAAATTTTATACGTGTATATTAACCTTACTTGTAGTAGTCAACCGTATTTTATTTATGCTAATGAGTAATTGGAGAAAACGTTTAAACGACGTTCGTTTGTAAGTATGATAAGAAAAAACAAGTGCAATTCGATATCGAACAATTTAAAGATATACCTATTCTTATTAATTATTTGACTGAGTTTGGATCGAAATATAAAATTGTAATAGAATTATAAAGATATATTTTTTAATAAAAGAAAATGTGTTAGCATAAAGAATAAATATAGTTGGCATAATAGGGTAATTTCTTCCCCTTCCTAAAGAACACATTTTAATTAATTTCATAAAAGTTGGTTCTTGATAAAAGTTCAACAGCTAGCATATAAACCAGTGAATCTATTAAATTCAAACTCCGTAAATATAATCATATTTTATTATTCCTTCTGGCTAGCTTCATGTAGGTGTATGCAAATAGTGTTACTGGTGCTTCGGGGTCCGAGACACCCCAGGTTCGAATCAGGTCGTACCCATCACTATCCCGAACAAGTGAGTTTCACGATTTGTTCGTTTCTAGGTCTTATATTTCGCTAGATTCAGTCGTACCCATCACTACCTCGAACAAGTGAGTTTCACGATTTGTTCGTTTTTAGGTCTTATATTTCGCTAGATCCGGTCGTACCCATCACTAATCCGAACAAGTAAGTTTCATGATTTGTTCGTTTTTAGGTCTTATATTTCGCTAGAACCGGTCGTACCCATCACTATTCCGAACAAGTGAGTTTCACGATTTGTTCGTTTTTAGGTCTTATATTTCGCTAGTTGCTTCGGGGTCCCTAACACCCCGGATGCCAAAATGTCGGTATGCAGTGTCACCTGTGCTTCGGGGTTCCTGACACCCCAGATGATATGTCGGTATACAGCCTTCACTGGTACATACCTCGGGGTCTCAGATACCCCGAATGCCGTAGTGTCGGTAAGCAAAGAGTGTCATCAGTGCTTCGGGGTCCCTGACACCCCGGATGCCAAAATGTCGATATGCAAATAGTGTCACCGGTGCTTGGGGTTCCTGACACCCCAAGATGATACCATGCATGGTCACTGGTGCTTCGGGGTCCCTGGCACCCCGGATCCTATATTATTGGTATGCAAAGATGGTCACCCGCGTTTAGGGGTACTCAATACCCCAATATGATATCAGGTCCGTATGAAGAGGGCACAATCAGTATAATTTTTTTCAGGGTTTATTTAATTTACTTCATTTATTTTCTTTTTGCTTATTAAATAAGCTCATCAAAGGGAAATAACATTCATGATTATATCCCTCTTCTGGGTCTCAGCCGAGGACCGTATTTATTTTACTTTTTCCAGTTATTTATATAATTTTATCCCTCATTATAGGCCAAGGCCATCTCAGTATCCCTTACATCCCTGCATTCCTTCCATCCCAGCATTCCTGCCATCCCAGCATTCCTTACATTCCTGTAACCCTTAAATACCCTTTTCTTTTTTTGTTTTTTAACGTGGTGGAAATCTTCAGAGACACACCTTCAGCCCCCCTGGGGAGGGGCCGGAAGGAATAATAAAATATGATTATTTTTAATTTTTCTCAGTGTATTTCGTTTGTAAATCGTTTGTGATTGATTGTGAGTCTATTTTTAATGTTTGTGACAAATTACTTCTTTTGTAATTAGCAATTTTATTTCAGTCATGATGTGAGCCGAAACTTTTTAGTAATTTTTTAAGGTAAAACCGTTCAGGGCTGACATACGTGAAAAGTCGTTATTTGCATAGTTCTATTTCACTTTAGCAAATGCAGAACTTGGTATTTGACATGGCTCAAGGAAACGAATAACAATCATCACACAGGGTATAGGTAGAATGGGTAGACTATAGCTGTCATGTGGACGTGTCTTTTTCAATCTGTTGGTACATTTATTAAATAGCATTTAAGTTAGATGATTAGGTATTATATCTTTAAATCTATAAAAACGTGAATACGTAGACAAACTTATTGTGAGAATGCAATGCCAGCACGTAGACGACACGTTAGCTCCGAGGTAGACCATGGTTTCGTGATCACAACCTCAAAGAGTCCCTGGCAGGGCAATACCATAAGTCAGCAGTATAATCATGAAAGTGAACGGTGCGATTTAACTAAAAACGAAAAGAAGAAAGCAGATATCGTAGCAGCGACAATGACGTCGCGCGACAGGACCAATGAATTCGTTAATGCCATCCGGACGATGCAAAGCAGGACCGTGACACGAGCAGCGGTTCTGCAAAATCCTCGTCGAGCACGTCAATTACAAAGCTATTCAAATTTTATGATGATAGCTAAAAGTATTGGAAAAAATATAGCGAGCACGTACACTAAGTTAGAAAAGCTTGCTCTATGTAAGACCGCAATAAACACTTAACATCATCTTATATTAAATGCATAAGTGTTAAACATATGCAGCAATCAAAATGTTTGAATATATTGCAATATTTGAATACAAATTATATAATATAATTAATTCATTACAAATTAGCAGTCTTTTATCTAAATATTTTCTTAAATTACTGGGAATATTTTAATTTTGGTAATTATAAAGAAAAATTATATGTTTATTAATTATTTTAGTGGCAAAAAGGAAATCTATATTTAATGACAGACAAATGGAAATTGATGAGTTAACAAATATCATAAAAACAGACTTAAAAAGTTTAAATCATCAGATAGGAAAATTACAAGAACTTGGAAAAAAGCAGCGGGATGGATATGGTGCATTTCAAAGTCATCATATGAATTCACACTCATCTTCTATTGTAATGACCTTACAATCAAAGCTAGCAAACATGTCAAATCATTTTAAAAGTGTATTAGAAGTTCGATCAGAGGTATGTAAGAATAAGATTATATGATGCAATAAAAAATAACATTTCTGTTAAAATATACAGAATATGAGAGAAGAGCAAACTAGAAGGCAACAATTTACTCAAGGTTCTGTATCTACAATGTTACCTCCAAGTGTTGCTGGGAAACAAGGTTCATTATTGCTTCAAGAACAAGATTCTCCCTCATCTACAGTTATAGATTTGGAACCAGCAATGGGACAGTTAACATTACAGCAAGCAATTCAAGATGACTCTGTAAGCTATTTGATATATTGAAAAATAACATTAAACTAAGTCCATTTTGATAACAGTATATAAATTTATTAGATGGCATATGCCCAGTCAAGGGCAGAAACAATGCAAAGCATAGAATCCACCATAGTTGAACTTGGTGGAATTTTTCAACAATTAGCGCACATGGTTAAAGAACAAGAGGAGATGGTGGAAAGGTAGCAATATTTTGATAATTATAAATTTCATATTATATCAATATAAAATATATAACATTTATTATAAAAATGTAATCAAATTTCAGGATAGATAGTAATATAGAAGATACAGAATTAAACGTGGAAGCAGCACATGCAGAAATTTTAAAATATTTTCAATCTGTAACAAATAACAGATGGCTAATGATAAAAATATTTGCAGTTCTTATATTTTTCTTTATATTTTTTGTAGTGTTTTTGGCATAAAACAATTATATTACTATGATTATTATTATTATTATTATTATACATATTTCTTCATTCAGTTTTGTAGTTGACCATTCATATCCATTTGCGATATAAATTGATCAAAGAACGAGGCGAATTTTTATAAAACTATGACTCACTAGCTATAGAATAGTATATTCAATTGCATTCCTCGACCTCTTTGTTGAATTGTGAATACTGTAAGTATTAATAATTAAAAACTACATCAGTGTAGATTAAAGCTACATTGTTGATTGTAAACTGTAAAAAGGATACTATGGGTAATAAATGTATAATTTTCAATGTTTAGTAATTTTTAATGAATATATGTATTTATAAGGATACGTGGTAATGAATTATATAACATAATAATAAATTATGATTTATTTCAATTTTTTAAAACCTTATATAACAATTGCATTTAACCTAAATTCGTATTACAATTGATTTCCCGATTTGATTATTTACGAATACATATAAGTTTCGGACTTGAACAAAGAATTATATATAATTACATAAAGAAACATTTTTTACAAGCTATTCTATATGTGTGTCAATAAACCTATAAATAATCAAATGTATATGTATGTACAATTTGTTTTTCTGGTTTTTAGTGTAACAGTGACGACATTTACCAGATACATTCCTAGCAGCAAACTAAGTATGTACTTATCACATTTTTAAAGTACTATATCAAAATTGTATTACTGACTTTCTATTAGAAAGTAAAACATATTATCCGTCACTGTTACTGGTTTCTAAAGTTTTTTTTTCTTTTTTTTTCTTTTTTTTTTATGAGTATTTCCTTGCTAAAAATGATGTATGCGTGAAGATGTTTCATAATAAAATAAAAGATTTAAACTTTACTATTATGATGTGTCTTGTCCAAAGACTCTCCAGAAGAATGTAAGGAACCTGAAACGATAATTAACTGTAAATAACATGTTGTGCTTTATAATTATTTCTATTTACAGTAGAGTTCTGATACTGCAGCATTCGATGAATCGTATTAAGCACGAGCGTTTTTTAAATTATTTTCCTTATTTTCATCGCATTGCGAATACATCACGACACTGCCAAAGTCCCAATCATGCCGCATTATCGGAATTCTAGGGTATTAATACCATAAAAATGTATAGTATGCAAATTATGCGTTAAGAAATTTAAATACACGTTACTGTTAAAATATCGAAATCAAATGTCAGTTCAATCAATATTCATTTCACTTTCCAATATAAACGTAATTTAAATTTTAAAAAATTTGTGCTTTTCAAATGACTTGTTAATGATCCTTCATTTAATTTCAATACTTTATACACATATGAAAGCACCAAACTAAACAAAATAGCATCTTTTGTATTAATAGCAAAACAAAATCAAACTCGACTTAGTCAACCTGTTGTATTGCATTTATTTGCAATTATTTCCCTCCATAGTACTCCAAAATTGTCTCACTTTAGAGAATCGCTTGCGTCCTTGCATGCATAACAACAAAAAAAGAATAGAAAATAATGGTGATGTAAAAAAAAGAAGAAAAACATTTGGTAGCAGTGAAATCGATCATTTTAACGGGTGGTGCCAATGTCTTGCTGTCGCTTGTCATTTTATACACAAACCTTTGTGATTTCGTATTCGCTCTCGTGGTGGGTGAAAACCAGAATTGCGTGGATGTGGCAGTGATTCGTCCCCCCACGAACGCGGCGTTCCACGGGGTGGAGGCAATATCGAATCAGGAGGGGGTGGTAGAGGTGGGTGAATATCGCTACCAAATGGAGGTGGTGGTGGTGATCTATGATTAAAAGGTGGAAGTAGATGTGGAGACATAGGTGGTGGTGGAGAACCTGCATTGTCGTACCTGTTGGAAGCAGAAGGATGTAGAGGCATAGGTGGAGGTGAAGATAACCGACCGCCCAAGGGCGCTGGTCGCTGGCTAACTTCATAGGGCGGTACTCCGGATGTATTTGGTAACGGGGGCGGTAAATATGGTGGAAAAAGTGAATGCAGATAAGAAGGCGGCGGTGGAGGAGGAACATTTGAAGAACCAGAAAACATTATAGGAGAACTGGATGATTCTGCTCCTATGAATAATGGAGGTGACGTTGTTGTCTCTCCATTTGCTTCCAGTCCTGTTTGAAAATCAAGTTAAGAAAATACATTTTATATACTCCCATAGTGTTATTTTAATTTTAAATGTGTACCAACAGTGGATGGACCTAAATATCTTTGATAACCTTCATTATGAATTAATAGATTTCTACATTATAATTTCTACTATTATTATAATAAGAAAATAATAATGTCTCATAAAATTTAATACAATAATGTAAAAGGCTAAAAATACTTAGTTTATACTTTAAATTTACTGGAAATGAAACAATAATGGCTACTCCAAACAGCGACAATGGTAAAATAAGGCCTCAATGACTATAAAATGAAATGCATTCAAACAAGAAATACTTATGTAATAAGTACTTACGATGTAATTTTGCTTCTGAATCTGCATCATTAATATTCTTTTCTATTAATGTAAGTCGATTACGCAATTGACCTGCTTCAACTCTGGACTCTTCTAAGCGACGTTCAACTTGTCGAGCTATGACCTAAAGAAATTATTTATTCAAAAAATTAATGACATTTGAAGTGGTAATTAAAAACAGTATATACATATATTCTAATTTCATACCCATTGTTCGTGTGCTTTCGTTTCAAGAACAGAAATCTGATTTTTGTATTCCCTTTCCTGATCCAGTATTTCTCGTTTTAACATTTCTATTTGTTGTCTACGAAATAATTATACACATGGTTATCAGTTATAGCCATCATATAAGAAATCATTACATTACAAAAATATTTTAGATAATAACATTAATACTTACTTATAATTTTGTATTTCATTTTGCATTGTTTGTATTCTTTCTACAGTGGATACAACTTCACCTTGCTGTTGTAACCAAATAGCTTCTTCCCTATAATGATGTAGAAACAACAATTATTTGTTAAATCACATTAGTTCATTTATACCATTTGAATTAGACTTATCATACTTTTGCCTTTGGGCTTCTTTTTCTTCAAAAAACTTTGTTAGTACTTCAAGTCGCGTTTCTGCATCTTTCTTCTCTTTTTCCGCTATCTTGCATTGTTCACTCAAGGTAGTTATCTCTTCTTTAACAACTTTCATATGTTCTGTAAATTTAAAAGAAATATGTGTTTAATATTATGAAATTATTAATGTAAATAATATTGTTAAATATACCTTCCAGCAAGTGGTGTGCTCCTTCAACTTCAACTAATCGTACTTTTAATTCATTTCTATCTTCTAATAAAGCTGTTGCCTCTGCTTTAATATGGGATACATCGTACAACTTATCCAAATCCAAGTTATTGGAATTCAATCGATTAATAACTTCCAGTAGATCTTTCGTTTCTACTTCTTTACCTTTCAATTTTTTCTGTAAGGTTGTTTTTTCAGTAGAAATCTGTAAATAAGTATACATAAAAGGTAATGACGTTCCTCTTATAATACAATCAGTTACATATTAATTGTATACATACTTCCTTGATTTGCATTTCTAATTGCTCTACCTTATCAATCAGTGTTTGTTCAAGGCTATTCTTACTTTCCTTTTCAAGTTTCAAATTTTCTGTAAACCGAGCGAGCTCAACTTCAACCTCTTCATATTCTTTTTTAAGAGAGGCGAGCTTTCTTGATAAGGACTCATTCTGGAAAACATTTGGCATTAACTAAGATACATATACGCACAATAATACATAATTTACAAAAACATATTTAAAATGTTGTAAGCATGAAATGCTTATAATTACGAACCTCGAGTTTATCAAACTCAAGCTGCGATAAATACGTAAAATAAACTCAATTAAAGACGTATTTTTGTCTTTGACGTAAGAAAAAAAATATATTGGAATACAAAACTTTAGTATTATTTATAAATATATGCATACCTCTTGATTTTTAAGATTAAGAGCATTCGTTAAAGACTCATTTGCAGCTTGCTGAGCATTTAACCTTGCTTGCAAATCTTCAACCGATTGGGCTAACGGATTAACTTCGTTATTTGACGAAAGCACTTCTCGTAACATTCGTTCTAATTCTAATCCAGCTTCAGTAGCACTTTCCAAATCTTTCTCCAAAATAACAATTTGATCTTCCAGTCCTGCTTTTGCTTTCTGCGAAAAATATTATATTATAAATAAATATGGCTGCTTTTTAAAATGTATTACATACGAACATATAAATTTTAATATTTTACCTCTGAAGCCTCTAAATCGTTCCATAAAGAATGTACCTTTTCTCTTAAATTATGCTCATCATTTTTAGTATGTGTTAACTAAAATATATTTAATACAAGTTTAATATGTTATAAACATATATGCATATGAATAAGTTTATTACCTCTTCCTTCATCGTTTTCAATTCATCATTTAGCATTGTACATTCCTTTGTTGCAACAAGTAAATCTTTTTCAAGTTTATTAACTTTAGCTATTAACTGTCTATCTCTTCTCATATTCTATAAAAATACAAGACGAATAAAGTTCCATTCTATTTGTTTATGTCTTTTATTCTATTTATTTATTTCATTTTAGTAGAAGTAAATATTATTAAATAGTATTTGCTTAATACCTCAATGTAATAATATCCCAGGGAGAATATAAGTGTCGCTGTAGCAGTTACACTTAGATACATTAAAGTTAACCAATAGCTGGGTTCTACCTTGATTCCTTCTATTATAACATTTCCATTAATTTCAAACGTTTCTTTTTCCTGGAATAATGATCTTAATTATTACTGATACTGATAAATTACAATAACGCGTCTAATATTTTCATCATATATTAACACTTACATTTGCGTAATCATTTTGAATGTTATCTTCAGGAGGACATGCATCGTTATCGGCTGTGCAAACGTCAGGAGTGGGAACTTTTACAATGTCTAATATTAGTATTGAAAAAAAAGAAAGTATTGTTTCTTCATTAAAAATGTTACTCATATTTTAACGTACAAAATTAAATAACTTGCATACTACACCTTGAATTTCATGTATATTTTCTGATATTGATTCAATTACAAATGGGGTGTCTACAGTACTTAAACTTTCATGTGAAATTTCATTGTGTACGATTTTGTCATTTTTATCTTCTACTAAAGTATTATCCTTTGTATTGTCAATTTCACTTTTTGCTTCATTCTCTATTTAATATAATCATAAAATAAGGTTACACTTGAAATTCAATGAACATTTTATTACACACAATATTAAGTTGAAGTTATTTTCAATTTAACTACCTACCAATCTCAAATTGTTTATCTGTTTCAACATCTAATAAATTTCTGTTATGAAATTGATTAATGTTCATCACATTTTCTGAAATTACATCTTTCTCTGCAGGATACAGTAGTTGTTCTGATAACTCCAGATTTGGTTTAGTCTCAGGTATTTCATTTAACAGCTGAGCTGTTTCCACAGAATAATTACTTGCATTTGTAACATCTTTCAAATTATCATCTACTTTTGTTATTTTATTTATTATTTCATTTATTTCTTTCATATCATGATGAGTTTCATATGATGTATTTTGCTTTTTGTTCAATTCTTGATCATTTTCTTCGTTAGTAATAGTGGTAGCATTAGTATCTTCTTTAAAGTTAAGATCAGAATCCTGAGATTCAGATTTAAATGGGACTGTTGCTGCTTCAGGAGTTACTTCAGCTTTAGTATTTTCAATATTAGATAATGTTTCAACAGGTTTAGTATTTTCTTCTTCTTCTTCTTTAATCTCATCTTTATTAACATCAGAGAATAATTCCACAGTACTTTTTACAACTGATTCTAAGAAAAAAGGTGCAACATGTTCATTGCTATGTTCATTTGAGTCCTCGATTTTACGGCTTTCTTCTTTTAATTGACTTTGTTCTACTTTTGATTCTTTATCATTTTCTAATAATTTAGCATCTATTTTATCGATGTCGGTGGCATTTTTCACGGAATCTTTACCATTTTCAGTAAGTAATGTTCTTTCTGTTGCACTTGTAACATTTGTTTCTAGTGTTAAAGAAGATACATTACTTAAATCTTCAGTATTTTTAATTTCTACTTTTAATTCATTTTGATCAGTTTCTAAGAGTGTAACATTTTCTGAAGTTTGGAGATCTCTTCCTTCGAGCGCGATATTTTCTGTATTCTGTACATGTACATTACTGGCAATTGTTTCATTTGTATCAACATTATCTTTTCTATCTACCTCAATTGCTGTTTCAGCTTTATCTTTTAATTCCTCTTTAATGTCATCAAATGTAGGTGTTTGAGAAATGTTGATATCAGTGTTACTGTCCAAGATAGATGCATCTTTCACAGTAGAAGGTAAGCTATTTTGTAAATTTTCTACTTCATTTTCTACTTTAGTTTTAAGATTTTCAGTTGCTTCTACTGATGGAATATGTGCAACTCCAATGTTATCTGGTAAATTAAATATTTCTTCTGAGCTTGTTATAAAATCCTTAATATTAAGGTTATCAGAAGTACTTTGTTCTTTTACTTTTAATTCATCGTTCAAAAGTTTTTGTGGCAACTTTGCATCTTTTGTAAAAATATCTGATTCATTTCTCTCTTTATTGAAATTTACTTCTAAACTATCAACTGCATCTTGTTTATTTGGCACTATTGTTGCTTCTACAACTCCTGTTGCAGAAGCTGGTCGCACAGAAGGTTCATCATGCACCATAGGATCTAAATGGACTGTAGTCCCATCTATAACTGCATAGGGAGGAGTCACATTCTGTGGCAGTTCTTCTGTGGATTTAAGATCCAAATTATCAGGTCTACTACTTGAAGCTTCAATATCTTTTGTATCAAATACAGATTTATTATTATCTTTCTTAGGCTGAAGCTTCTCCTTAGATACTAAATTATTATTAGCCAACTGATTAATAGGCACTTCATACTGCAAATCCTTATGTATAACTTTATATTCTTTTAGAAAACGTTTTGGTACATATCCATGTTTTCCATTTATCTAAAATGAATGAAAACCTTTGAGAGTTACACGTTTAGAATCATAATATTTTAAATAAAAATAAATGTAATCTGTATCAATTTATTTATTTATTTATTTATATAGCGGTAAATAAAATACCTCAACACCCCATAAGTCAGTTCTGTTGCCTGCTTCTTTACTATAAACTGTGACTTTTACACTAACGTCAAATTTTAATAAACCTGGCTCATTTGGAATATATTTAATTGTTGTTCTAGCCAACGAAACAGGCTCTAGATAAAAAATATTGAAAAATAGTTTAAGGTGATTAAATTAAAAAATACGTTTTATATTAGATACATATTGGAGATAAAGTATGGCTTCAATTACCAGAACAATCGGGGTTATAACATAATCGTTTATCTGATAAAGCAGACGAACATTGTGATATTGCACTAAATATTATTGCAATAATTAAAAATAATATATTAATAAACAAATTTTCTTTCGTCATATTTCCCCTATTGAAAAGTTCCACATCACTACTAACATATAATGAAACAGCCTTGGACGCACATTTTGCCCTGAAGTAAGTTACAATAAGATAGTTCGTCGGTTCGTCGGAAGGAATATTCTTCAGTCTCAACCGAACACCGCCTATACCTCATTGTTTGATTGGTAATTCAATTTCAAATAAAATTAAATCGTATTAAGATATTGTATTAAATTGTATTTCAGGTGTCAGAAATACAGAAAAACAAGAAAGAATTGTAAAGAGAAGACCAGATTCATAGTTTCTGACATCAATTCGACGTTGTCTTCAGAAATGCGTGAGTTAAACTTTTTGACTCTTGACAAAAATCCAAATTGTACTTGAAACTACACTACCTTACTTATTTTCCGTTTATATCGATATTTACTTCAAGATTATTGAACCCTTTTATGTTTTTGGTACTTTTTCTTATAATTTATTGTTTTAAACTGTAAAAGTTAATTTCCATGTTATTGACTATTCTGCCGATATAGATACGAATTAGAATAATATTTTTCTCATTTATGTTACTTTTGTATCGATAATTTCTTAAATAACATTATATATATATATATTTTTTTAATTTATTTCCTGTAATTCAGTACTTTGAATGGAGAAAAAAAGATCCTGATTTTTTTTCAATATGGCGTCTATAATCTTCAAAACATTTTAGCGGGAAATTCAAACATCCTACCTATTTTAGCCATCGTACAAGCTTTCGTTAGTCGAATTCAAATCAATTTTCACACGATGATTAACATGTCTAATAATACTATAAGCATTTAAATTTAATTAATATCGAATAATTCAAAAAAATTATTCCAAAATTTTTGTTCCAAGAAAATGCAGATTTTTACAGATATTGATTGATTGGGTGCAAATGATGTATTACTGAAGCATGTATTTGAAAAAATATGTTCTTTTTTGTTACAGGATTACATTCGAATAAAACAAAAAATAGCAGAAATGCAATATGCAGCTGTTAAATGAATCTTCGCCAAAATATACGTAAGTTTTATTATTATTATGAATAGTTGCACTATATTATTACAGTAAATGCAATATGGTAGAAATGTTACTGTTTTATTAATTACAGAATGGTCAACCAACGTTGATATTTCAACAATGAACATCAACTTACTAAGGGGATCATCATGGTGCCTTCTTTCCATCTACCTTTCAGCTACTCACCAGTTCGGTAAGTCAAAGAAATAAATTTTTTTTTAAATTTTATGTGAGCATAGTGATCCACGAGTAGATGTATGCTCGTAGAGATGGGATTAATTTTCATATTGTTATATTTCTTATTTGAAACTAGGGATTTCATGTCTCTTTTTTAAATAACTTGTAAAATGGAAGTTATAGTTATACTTGTAAAATTGAAAGCCACTATCCTCACTAAGTAGTTTGCTCACTTATATTAGTTTGTTCTTATATTAATCCTCCTACTGATGGATCCTATACTAGTATAGTATAAAATTCTATACTAATCCTACTATGTATGTACACGTTTGGTTCCTTAGAACGCGTAGAACCATGCTATAAAGGAATTTTTCAAAATTTCCTTATTTTTAACACCCTACTTTTAATTTTTATTTAAGATTCCCCAAGAATCATTGTAATGACCTAATACAAACCTTAAGGACACTTTTATGTCATTATATGGAATTTCCCACTTAGGGATGCTTTGAGCAGGACTAGCTCTCAAGCTTAATGACTACTATAAATGAGATAGTATCCAATGACAACTTCGAGTTTCATGATCACAGTATAGAATTGCTCATTCCGACAAAGTCCTTTTTATGAACAATGTACGATCCTTATTAAGGAGAAAAGGTTGATCATCGACGAGGTGGTAGAGTGAAATAGAGGGTAAGAGGGGCTGGAATAATGGGAACGGCGATGAGCCTCCTTTCACGTTGGAGAGAAGGTACGCTTCAGGTGCGTGAAGTTGAGATCGATATTGCAAGCAATTCCCTGGGTCATGGCATGCCCCTGCGGCAGCCATCGACTGCACGCGATCGTGCTAAAATTAAATGATGAAATTCATTCTTTCTTTTTTTCTCGTCTTCCCTAACCCTCGACATAATTCTGTTCTCCCTTTATTACCCTTCCCCTCTTTCTTTCGTATCCTCTTTTTAGGCTTTTACCCTCCCTTCTTTCTCGTATATATCAAGGTTTTATGTCTTCCGTTTTATTTCATTTGTCTCGTTCGTTATTTGGTCGTCGATCTTCGTTTTAACATTTTCTGAATTACATATATGTCATTGTTTATCGGTAACGTAACGCAGAGTACGTCATTCAAAGCGCCGTATGCGTTCTTGCATTGATTTGTAATATAAAGAGGAAATTAGATTTGCAAGTAGGATACACACACCCTCTGTTTGTACCAAACATGGGTTTAATTGTCTAACCCAGAAATGTCTAAACCCCTGAATGCAGTCTACCGAGAGATTACCTCACACCGTGTTCATTCATTCTTCTGTGAAGTTGTTAACGTTGGTACTGGTCGGTAAGTACTCTACCCTAAGAAATCGTACTTACCGACGTTCGTACCCCTTCACAGCTGCAACCCGAGAGGCACGAACACTGACGATGAGGTGGGGGAATCACTCGATAAACTAGGGTCAGGTTTGGGTGCCTCTGATTTAATCATTGCTATAGCAAAGATTTCGTTGAAATGAATGCACACTTAAGTACTTATGATATAACTCTTAAATATGTAAAGAGGTAATCAATGTTTAGGATCTTTAATTTCAAGTGTACATACAAAGAGTTGGCTTTGTTCAGTACGTCTGCCAGTGGGTGGTCCAGTTTTTGGTACATTGAAAACTGCATCCCTTGTTTTAAAAAAGCTAGGGAAAGATTAAGAATATTAAAAATTTTGCGATTCAAAAGAAAGAGTTTGGTATTTTACAGATAACATTAATGACTTTTTAGGTCAAATCAATTAACTCTGCAGAAATGCATCGAATGCACGCGATACTGCTAAATTTAAATCGACGAACTGCTTGGCACCTGTATGTATTTACATGCATTTTTGTACGACGTTAACTACAGTCAACTTGATAATTACTTATAATGGAATGTTAAGTGCTTTGGATGTTTCATTAAAACAAATGGGCTGAATTGCAATCTTTATAACCCATTATCGTTTTAATCTATTTAAAGTTTGAAATTATAGAGACATCCCTAGTCGAACTTAATTAACCGATTTCATTAAACGTTCATCGACCAATCAATCGAGCATTTCAATCGTTAAACAGGTACATACTATATTATGTGACACTATATTATTGGTCCATAAATTATTGCCGCATGCGAGTATAAATTCCGTGGGAAGTGTAGAAGTGACGACACAGTCGCTTTGTAATCTCAAGAGAAGCCATCGAGAAAGAAAATAGTTGATTGTCAGGCCGAAACGTATCGACTATATGTATAGCGCCGCGACCCGATTCTCATCGTCAGGCATAGTCCTCGGTGATCGTCGCTCACGCTCGTGAGCGTTCGGCCGTTTCTAGGCATGTCCGGGAATCCATTCTTGTGGTGGGGGGTGGTACCCTTATTGAGAGCAGGTTTGCTTCCAAAATCTGCCACGGAGGGAGGGCTCTATGGTTGTGCTCGTCGTGTTACAGAGAATTCGGAATAATAATTAACATATACGCTACTGTGGCGTGGGGTTTGCACCGACGACCTACGTATATATGTACCCCCTCGATTGCAGCGCTGTAGGGCTAGCGGAGAATTCACGAAACTTTTGTTCTTCATTAAGTGAATCACTCCCACCAGCAGAGTTTTCAGACCTGTGTATACGATCGTACTTCTAGGCGAGTGTCTTCTTCGCTTCGAGTCTCATTGATCCCTCGGACGCGGTTGCGCGCAATGGTCGGCAGACGGCAGTGGTACTCGGTTCGACCAATCAGCTGTCGCGATTACCCTGACTGCGTCCGAGTCTCGTGGCCCTCGGCCAGCCGGTCTCTTGTTGTTTTCCATCGTAGGCTTCTCTAACCCATTCGCTTGTTCGCTGGTGCGCGTTCGAACGGCGATAAACGTCAAACGCGATCGTCGGGAAGGTTAAACGCGTCGACGACGGCGGTCACGGCGCGGCGGAGGCGATTAGTAACGACGTCCTTGGTGACAAGGTTCGAGCAGATCGTACGCCCCCTTCTTGTCGCCGCCGTCACCATGATACCGTACTCCACGTGCTTGTCTTTCGGGGGCCGACGCGACGCTCGTCGCTGGGTGGTCTTACACGACGAGTCCTCCTCTCCCTACCCGGTGAGTCGCAGTAACGAATACGCACGAGCACGCACGACGTGTCACGTTCAGCTGAAAAGACGCGCAACTGCCGCTATTCGAAATCTTCCTCTATTTTAGTGCGATAACAGCCGAATGAAGGGGAACAACTCGTGTTTCAGCACACCGTGTTGCTGCACATATGTATCATTACACACATTTACTAGAGAAATAAAGCGAGACAGAGAAAGAGAATAACGCTTCGATTCGCGTGCGCAACAATGCCTCCGGGTTCGATGAACGTCTTCGATTTCCTTGATTCTTTAGCTTTTGTCCAAGAATGTATATACATATGCACCTGTCAAAGAAATTCGAGCGATTTCTCATTGGACGTATTACATTCGATGCCTTTAAGTCCTCTGATCGTTATACATATTAATGTTTTTCTTAAAAAATTTTGAAAATTAAAAAGGAAGCTTTTTATTGGAGTATGCTCATCAGCAGAACGTGCCGTATGCTACTGATAAGGTCCTCTTTTATATTTAGGCACTTAGAATGTTCTAAGATATTCCAAATTTTAAGAATAACAGAAAAATATTCAATAAACATATAATAAGTTATTTAAAGGATGAAGGAAACGATCGTGAACCTGCTCTTGTTGTTAGCATGTAACAATTTCATCTTGTATTAGACGTATTAGACTTGAAGTGTATTAAACTTGAAATTCACTTACCGCTGACCCTCTTGATAATTAGGGTGCTAATTAATTTTTGTCTTGATTATTATTACCGATCTATTTCTACATTGAGCAGTATGCTCGATAATTTCCTGTTAGGAACACCTCATGCTTACACGCATCACACACGCACGCGCGTGCACCTTACTCTATTGCTTCGAAAGCCAGTGAATGTATGTACATACATACATAAATACATACATATATGTATAGCTATACATAGGTATCACATAAATAAAAAGACTGCGAAGAATGCCATATACCATTGACGTTCGATAATTCCCCATTTGTTAAAAAGACTTTTGAGTTTCGCGGTACTGGACGCTGTGGGTGGTTGGACACTATCCAGTAATACCGTACGTTGTGACCACGCCGCTTTTCCGCGACAAGTATGTACAACCTACCGATCAATATTATTTTTTGTTTCATAAATCAAAATTCAGGCAAAACAAATCACAGGACATAACAGATGATAAATCACTCGACACTGTCGATGAATCTGCAGTATTTGTCTTTCGATTATTGATGAAGTGTTAAAAGTGTAACATACTTTTGGATACTGTTAGTTATCAGTTTAAAGTCTCTGTTTTATTAAAATTGCACAAAAAGGGAGTAATATTCTTATTTCATTTATTTCAACACCTTACATTTTGTGTAAATGAATAATTCACAAAAAAAGAGAAGAGGAATTGGGTTGGGGTTGATATTAACTTTTTGAGCAAACATAAAAAGAACTAATCGAAAAATATATTACTAAATAATTCTAAAAAGAAGAAAATTTTTGCTAAAAGGTATTTTTCTTAAACTTAAACTTATCCTGCAAAAAAACTAGCGATAAGTAGATGATCCATTTTCATGTGAAATAGATGATCTCTAGATAAAGAGAATATAACAAAAAGTGAAGCACCGAAGAAATGTAGATGATCCCTCTTCTCAATGACCGATTGAATTTGTATAAAAACGGTGAAGTACATAAATCTATCACACTTTACTCGTCAAGTCTGATAACTTTATTCTTTTTCTTATCGTTTTCTTGCAATCTAACCTTAAATTTATCTTCATACTCGTTTATTTTGTATTCATAGTTGGAAATGGACTTATGTACTTCGTTACTATTAAAAAAAAAAAAACAAAAAAAAAACATTATAATAATCACGTATTTGCATCTTCACGGTTCGTTCACATGCTCTTCTGCTCTCTTTATTTTTCATTATGTCGATCAATAAATACTTCCTTGTAGTTTTCTATTTTTACATACTTTGCATACGTTGTTCCATTATCAGATAAGTGTTCAACAAAAACAAGTTAATAATTTGTAATGCATCAGTTTTTTTTATTATTCTTCGTATCTCTAAAAGATTACAATACTTTTCATAATGTTTAATATTTTAACATTTAATTCAGGAACGTTCGGCGCTAAAAATACTCTGTTTTCGAATTATAATTTTAAGATAAAATCGTCAGCACGGAAAAAATTGTTGCAAGAGAGACAATATAATGTCTGAAGAAACATAAAAATCACATCTATTTACGAGAGAATACAAATCAACAAACCAGTTAAATTAACATAAACAAGTCAGGTTGTTTATCAATCGTATTAATTTTCGACCTAAATTCCTTTTTTTTTCTTTTTTAAATAGCGTGACGCATGAATATAATTTGTGCAAAAGTTTCGTCTATATCATTCATTGTCTAATTTTACAATCCACTTGTTTTCCTAGATTCGTCACCTGATCATAAATTAGAGCGTTCAGGAAGTGAAAAAAAATTCTGTAACCTTGACATCCATATTCATTATTCGAAATGCGGCTACGGAATGAATGCGGCCCAAATTGCACGTGCAAAGTTAATAAATTAATTGAATTCTAGAAAAAGAGAACAGGAATGCAAAATACTTTTTATTGTTGATTTATGTAAGTAAATAAGCTTGGCTGAATAAGTTAGTTGAAAAATTGTTAAGTTTGCATGCTAGCTTCGTTAATATATGATGAGCGCAATGAATGGTAATTGCTGTTGGCAAAGCAGTAATGCAACGGGGGGGGGGCGGAAGGATTAACTGACTCCTTATTAAGAAATGAAAAACTTGTTTGAGATAAAGAAAAATAAAAAAAATTAAACTTAATATTATCATGATGCTAATTAGGTATATCATTTTTTCACCCCTTTTTCAAAAATTGCAATTCTTTTTCTACTCGTACATTTGAAGGAAACACGAGATTATACAAATGAAGTTATACAAATAACGGAAATAGTTGGAATAGAATATCAGGCAATAAAGATGTAGGGAAAGGAGGCGAAGGATAACGTCGAAGGAGACGTAAGTACTACTTACCTCTACTGTCTGTCCGAGCTACTCTTAAGGGTGTCGTTTCTTCTCCTCAAGGTCGGTCCAAATGCTCGATGAAGCGATTAAAAATGAAAGTAATAAATTGGTTTAAAGTGCTTTCAAGATGGCAATCATGGCATAATGGCAAATCATGAGATGGAGGAAATGGAAAAGTACCATCCTGGAGCGCTCCATAGACCCAACCGAGCTAGGCTTTTTTCCCTTCTCTAGTTGGTCTCCCATTGCTTTCGTTCGAATCTATCCGATCGGTGGTTTCTTCTCCTTATTCGTAAATCTTCGATTACTTGCTAATGATCTTTGATAAAATCGTTACAAATTTCAGGTAGTCGATAGTAAATTATTGTTTCAAACAAAAAATCCAAAAAGTATTTCTTATGCATTTTTCTTTTCATCTGCAACAGTTTACATTGAAGAAATGAAAAAAAAACAACTGAAAAGTTGGAGAAAAATTGAAAATACATTTTAGATAATACATTTTATCTAATATGGATAATACATGTTACAGTGTACTTTTGGTATATTTTTTTGCTGCGTATACATGGGGTCATAAAGTGTCTTCCATTTGGTCAGGAATCGAGGAAACAGGTTCAATTCTATTGACCACTTACGATCGTGTTAACTACACTTCACGTGGGTGTTGAAACAAGTTTACGCAACGATACCATTTGCTACTAATGCGTTTTTAGACTTTGCGGCACGTTAGCCCATAAAGAAGCCGCAGGGGTGCCGTACAATGCGGAGAATATAGGAATTCATGGGGTTGTACGACGGGAATGAAAGGGCAAGATAAAAAGGTTGGAGAGAGAAGGAGATACACAGGGAAGGGTGAGAGTAGCACGAAGGTGCTACTCGCGTTGTCGTCGCGTTACCTTTATTAACTACACTTAATAAAGAGTTTTAAATATATTATTGAAGGGTCCGAAACAATCGCTTATGTAATTCATTTTATTACTCAAGCAGGCAGGCTTTATTTTCTAATTTTAGATATCGGCGACTGGTCACTGAATCGTAAAATATGCGTTTTGTCTTCGTTTCAGAATCCATAGACTAAAATGATGTAATTGAATCGGAATTTTAGTATCGCCATTGAA